CGTACCTATTGCTCATGCTATGCATAAGGCTTTCATCCGTCCACTCCGGGATTCTCAACCCACCCTACCACAACCATACGATCGTCACGATGCCGCATATCTCATCTCACCTGCAGCAGAGCGTCAGCAGCCTCGGGGAAATTGGTAGACAGCGAAGTGCGACAATCAGAGTAGAGCTCTCGTATCGCACTAGCCAATCTACACATCCTCGAGTGGACCTGAAACCCAGCTACGTCCCGTCCAATACCAGACTCTACTCCCCAGTGCGCCAGACCCAATCCACCATCACCACCACAGCACGAGGCTGATCGCCAGTCAGAAATGCCACAAACCTCACCGTCTGTATCGCGTTCTGCATCTCGAGTATTCGAGCCTCTTGATCCCTCCCACTACCTGAAGACAACAACACTACAGCGATCCCTCCACCCAGGCACTTCATCTGGCCTCGAGAAATAACGTTCCGCAAAGTTTGATAACAGTGAAGAAAATGTTCCTTAGGTGATGACATTCACATGGAAAACTGTTCTTAAATTCAAAAACAGCCCCTCGGGAGCATTCTAGGTTTCTGAATGCCCCACCCCGTCCCCCCCCAGCCCATACCGTCTCACCTGCCAATCGTGAAGACTTCGAAGGGGACCTACCAGTCGTAGTTATTGACGCCTCGTGTCGGGCAACCATCACAGAAACCTGCTGATTCCGCTACTCCCATCCTACTCAGTCGCCACACACCTTCTCCAGTTCTCTCCTTATGCCCTCCACCTCCCTCGCACTCCCCACCTGAACAACGCACTCCTACCCGAGTTCCACACCCACACACTACCGTTTCCTCCAGAGCACTTTCGCAAGCAGCCAATCGGTCCTCTAGTTGTACATTCCTGGCCTCTTCCCCGACACCATACGGGCTCAGCAACGGACGACGCTCCTGATAAATTCCAATATCACGACGAAGAACCACGTAAAAAATAAAACCAAACTTCACATTGAAGCTCAACTCAGTTCTAGCGGTCACTTTCACTATACAGACAATCGCTCACACTTTCACCACCAACAACAAATGTCAACACTGAGGAATTACTTTTTTTCAAAAACAAATTTCTATTCTCCAATTTCAGCATAGCAGTCACCAAGTTGCCCAAAAAGGCCTATTTCAACACCCCATTGGCATTTCTAAAACTTCCTATACGAATAACGTAGGGAGTATATATAAATAACCTCCCACATACTACCTTTCCCATTCCCTCCATCTCCCTCCTCATCCGCATTCCCTCCGCAACCGAAGCCTCGACATTCACTAGCCTCTCTGCAACGCCTTCCAATGACGACGACTAAGCTCACAATTTTTCTTCACCTCAACTGGGAACCACTACTACTAGCCTAGCAATTTCCGGATCCACATATCCTTCTATATGCCCCAGAGCCTCGGTCACCTGCTCCTCCACCATCTTCTGCCACTCCGACTACACCAACCATCCTCAACACATACCACAACTTCCCTACATCGCGTTCCACCAACTCCGACTGAAGCACCTCCAGCTTGCTCTCTATCCACTCCTCCACTCGTTCCTGTGACCCGTCCATCGCCTCTTGCAACTCCCTTGTCTACCACAAGTAAATACGCCCAGTGAGCCCCCAGTGAGCCCACCTGAGCTTTCATCGCGGCCAACTCCTTCCTCTCCACCCACAGCCCATCATCCGGACCGACCACTTGCAACCTGCAACAATTTACCCGCCACCATTCGACCTGCACACCTACCGCTCTCTCGCCGAATCGTCCCCATTCAAGCGCTCCTGCTTTCCCCTCACTGTGTCCACCACCACCTCCTCGTCCAACCTCAGCCTCCCTTCCAACTTTCCCACGATCCTCCTCAGCTCCTCTACCCCCACCGCCCCTTCTGCCACTGCCTCCCTAACCTCGCCAATTTCTTTCCTCAGTGCCGCTCCCATCTCTGCCGTCTCCCTATCATATCTCGATTGCAGCGACTTCCGCATTTCCGTCTGAAGTCGATCCGCATAATAAGGACCATACCCCCGAGATTCACCACAAACGAATTCCTCCCACCACACGAGGCAGTGTTTCAAAGGCATTCAACTACTATGCTACATCGAGAAAGACAAAGACGCCTTGCCAGTGTTGGCCTTGTAGGAGTTTCCTCACCAATTGAAGAATTTTTCACACGAATGAGGATTTCCATATTTTCACCAACACATGTAGTTGACCATGTGCATATCCCCCCACATTGCCCTCCGCACCTGATTCTTAGCCAGATCGTCAACCACTCCCAACAGTGCCATCAACTCCTCCACAGACTCCTCCAGCTCTCGAATTCGACGTCCTATAAAGCATCACCTCAACAAACCTCCAAAACTCTCACAGGCCTTTAGCGTTCGTTTATATACAACTCCCGACTCCATCGAAAAAATCCCCAAAAAATCTCAACGAATACCATCACCGCCCCCAATGCTCACCCGAACTGCCCTCCATCCCCTCTTCTTGAGGTCCAACCGCAGCTACTGCCCCCATCGCCCTCCGCTCCAACTTCCCAACAGTGACGGTTAACCTGATGATACTACTACTACAACACAAGTGTATAGAACCTCTCCACCTACCCCTCCAAAGCCTCTCTATTCGCACTCAGCCCGGGTTCTATTCCCTCCAACTGCTTTTTCTGCAGCCCCAACTCCTCCTCCACCCTCTCCAGCGTCTCCCTATTCCTGCTCACCTCAGCCTCCCAAACCTCCTCCTGTGAGCCCAACCGTCCCTCTACTGCCCGCAACGCCCTCGATTGACTCAACAGTCACCAC